CCCGTGTCCTCTTTTGCTTGTGGAAATATGGTAACCCTAAGCTAAGGCCTTACCAGTGCCAAGCAGAGTGGGACAATTGTCTCCCATGTCTTCCATATGATACTCCTAATACAACCCAGAATATCAGCCTTTTTTGCAATTGCATCACATTGACTCGTTCAATTTGTGATCCATTATAACCCCTAGTGCTCATTACATAAATTGGAAAAAGACAGCAATATGGGCTCCCATAAGTTTAAGAAAATTTGGGAATACTTCTGAATGGTATCAAATTCTTTATAACACTTCTAGAACTTGATACCTTCTTGCCTCTCCTCCTAATCAACAAACTCACTAGAAGAGCTAACTGACTAAAGATAAGGTGATCACTTTTCCAGTTCAAGCAGTGATCAATCACTTCATAATTAAAGATCAGAGGTCGCTTTGGGGACTCTTTGGGTGACACATGCAAAATATGCATGACCAAAAATACTCCCCATTTAAATCTTTTTTAATCTTTATTTTAAAAGAGAATAGTATAGAAAAAAGTCTCTCTGCAATTAGAGTCTTGTCTTCTTGCTGCCATTATAAAGAAAGCCATCTATGGTAAATGAGTTAAAATAATTTCCTAAAGTCTAACAAAGTGTATAAAGCACATGGACTTTTATGTTGGCACTGGCCCAAAATGAAGGATGGCAAATTCTAATGCCGGAGGTTCCTAAACTGTAGCCATATGCATCACTGGCTATTTACTTGGTACCACCTCTTCTTGTATCTTGCTGCTAAAATGCATAAAAAGAAACTAAAAGTACATTAAAACTCATTATGCAATTGTGAATGGAGAGGGCAGTGGACCATAGACACACAAGTAAGATATGGTCTCCACTACAACATTTGAGAACTTCTTGTTTAGCGACCCCAGCTATTTAATATTGGCAAAACATGACACTAATTAGGTTCTATTTTCCCAGTCCTGACCACACCAAGTTGAGTTTTACACTAAAGGCAGAACAAGAAGTAATCAGCTTAGTCTGCAGCAAGGGACACTTAGAAAGCTTTTCCTAATACCTAACCTAACTATAAGGGTAGTCAAATTCTGGAATAGGCTTGCAAGAGGTTGTGAAATCCCCATCACTGGAGGTATTACGAACAGACCAACACCTGTCAGGGATGTCTATAGTTGGTTCTGCCGCAGTAGAGGCAGCTGGGCTCGATAATCTCTAAAAGGTCCATTCCAGCCCTACATTTCTATGATTCTATTATTCTAACATCATTCTGGTCTCTTGTGCTAGGAGTTCTCCCATTTTAGAGTCCTCCACGGGAAATATTCTGTCTTGGGTTCAGAAAATTTCACTGTAGTAAGATAACACATTTTATTTCTCTTATTTTGGTGTCACCATGTGGTTACTTCATCTCAGAAATTTAAAATTATTTTTTAAAATCAGAAGTTACCATCACCAGCACTCCCAACACACTACCTGATTTTTGATGGCAGTCATAAAATACAATGAATGGCTATCTGAATGCTCTTTCTACCTTTCCCTCCCCCCGAACCCAATACAAAATAAGCAACGAAGGCCACACAGCTAGCAGCTCAGGACATACCTAGGTACACAAAGGATGCCAAGGGGGTTACATTTTAACGTACTCACCTGATTTGACTTTTCCACTGTACTGCTGGGAACTTCTGTGGTGTCCTTCACAAAAAAGTTATCTATGATGTGTCTCTCTGCACATTCCTGGCTGCAAACTGGACAGCGGATAACACCAACTAGAGAGAAAAATAAAGAGCAAGTTCAACTGGTAAGAAATCTTAAATTGATAAGCTTACAAATCTTAATCAAATAATTTTGAGAGAGAGAGAGAGAGAGATACTTTTCTGAAAACTTTCAGTTAGCATTTCTAGAGTCCAAGGGATAAAATGCCAATTCTTATCCACTGCCAACCCACAGACTTTGGGTCTCTGCCCAGGGGCGGCTCTAGCTTTTTTGCCGCCCCAAGCACGACAGGCAGGCTGCCTTCGGCGGCATGCCTGTGGGAGGTCCGCCGGTCCCACGGCTTTGGCGTACCGGCCACCGAATTGCTGCCAAATCCATGGGACCGGCGGACCTCCTGCAAGCAAGCCGCCGAAGGCTGTCTGACTGCCGCCCTCGCAGGGACCGGCAGGGCGCCCCCCGTGGCTTGCCGCCCCAGGCACGTGCTTGGCGCGCTGGTGTCGCCACTGTCTCTGCCTGAAAATCACTGAGTATCTCAGCTCCTAGTGGGATTCAGACTCTTTAGTTTCAATAATCAGTTTTATTAGAATCATAGAATATCAGGGTTGGAAGGGACCTCAGGAGATCATCTAGTCCAACCCCCTGCTCAAAGCAGGGCCAACCCCCAGATTTTTGCCCCAGATCCCTAAATGGCCCCCTCAAGGATTGAACTCACAACACTGGGTTTAGCAGGCCAATGCTCAAACCACTGAGCTATCCCTTCCCCTTCTTTTTTTGTGAATCTTCCACTGATTTCACCCCTGCTACTCAAAGGTTCTTGTCTTCCCATGAGCAGTTTGTTGCAAAATGACTAGAGAGTCAGTTTGTAAGGTACCAGATACATTCAGCAGGACTACAGGTACATAACTGCAATAGTGATGTGATGGGCATGGAATTGCTGTGTAATAATCTAAGTATTGAGATGTAATAATTTTATGAACACAATATACTGTCTGGTCAATGAGGAGAAGTTACTGTATATTGGTTATAAGACTTTCCTGCTCTAATTAATAGGGGGCTTCAGGAAAAGGAAGCAGGACAGCAACACAATAGCTAGAATTACAAAACAATGGCGTACTTCCAGGGTCCAGCGCAAAGTGAGACAGACATTTTACCAGTCTGGAAACTCATAGATCAAAGGGTTATAAACACTTAAAGAGCTGTCAATTGTCAAGGGGACAGGTTAACAAAGGCCCCGTCTACACTTGTCTATACAAGTTTCTATGCAGTAAAGCAGTGTTCTGCTCTGTAACTCCTGAGGTGTACACACTACCAAGCCACTTAGTGCGCAGAAACTGTGTAGTTGCAGCGCTGTAAAAACCAAACACCCCAACAAGAGACATACAGCTTTCTGCGCTGGGGTTACAGCGCTGTGGTGCCAGCGTAGACACTGTGGTCGAATACAGTACTGTGATTGGCTTCCGGTAGGTGTCCCACAATGTCTGTTCTCACCTCTCTGGTCATCAGTTTGAACTCTACTACCCTGCCCTCAAGTGACCAACCGTCATCCCCACCCGTAAATTCCTTTGGAATTTTGAAAGTCCCCTTTCTGTTTGCTCAGTGATGTGTGCAGTGGTCTCAGTGCATCTTTCTAGGTGGCCATGCCTGCTCCACACACCAGGCGATCCCCCATTGGGAGCAGTGCTAAGCTGCTGGACCTCATCAGCATTTGAGGAGAGGAGGCTGTCAGTCCCAGCTGCGCTCCAGCCGCAGGAATTATGATACCTACGGACAGATTTCACGATGCATGATAAAAAGGGGCCATGACTGGGACACACTGCAGTGCAGGGTTGAAGTGAAGGAGCTGCGCCCACGAGGCGCAGGAGGCAAACGGCCACTCCAGAGCTGCGCCCACAAGCTCCCGGTTCTACAAAGAGCTGGACGCGATACTCGGCAGCAACCCCACCTCCATTGCGAAAACCACTGTGGATACTTCGGTGGCTCACATGCCAGTCGAGAGTGGTCCGAGCCAAGAGAAGGAAACCTTGGACAAGGATGTGGAGGGGGAGGGGAACCCAGAGGCAGAGGATGACTCGGAGGTCAGAGATGCATGCAGCCAGGAGCTCTTTGGCTAGCCAATCACAGCTGTCAGATGTTGGCGAAGCGCAAACAGGAGAGGAGGCCCCTGGTAAGTGGATTTGATTTTGGGACTCGCTCAAGCAAGTTGTTGGAGGCAGGAGAGTTGCAGAAATCAGGCGTGTCTCCCACTGCGTTCCTAGTCTGAACGGCTGAACAGGCTGTTGATTGACTCCCTCACTTCTTGGGAATCTGCCTCAGCTCTCCAGGAAACTCTCATGGAGACAGTGGGCAATCCACTGCCGCAGGTTCCTCGGCGGAGCTGCTTTGTTTCTTGCCCCATTAACAGTAACTTTCCCATGTCACTGAGCCATCGGGGGGTGGGGTATTGCTGCACACAGGTGAGACACACAGGGGCCAGGGTGGAAGCCACAGGCTTAGAGACGACCCTCCCTTGATTCCCTGATTACCCTCAGCAGCGAGGTATCTTCCATAATGATCACATCCTGTGGAAAGTGTGGGGACAGGAATGATTTATCAGGCCCCCTCCCTACAGTGCTGGCTCTCCAGGAGAGCTACATGCCCAGTGTACAGCAGAGTCCAGGAAGAATGATTTACCCTTCTCCTGCGGCTACTCATCATTTTGGGGGTCTTGTGGCTCATGTGTATTTGCCTGGGGTCAGCCAGTTAGTGACAGATGTGTGAGTACTGGCTGTGTTTTAAAGCACTGAATCAGTGTTGACTGTGTTGCAAACAATACTGCTTCTGTAAAATGTCGCATTTAAACTTCACAGAGATGACCTTGGGAACCCAACCTCCTTCTTTGTTATCGGCGGCTGAACGGCTGCGCAAAATTAGAAAGCGGCCAGGAAGAACCAAGGAGGACTTTCTGCATGAAGTTATGATGCACTCCGCGGCCGAGAAACAGGAATTGAAGGAGTGGTGGGACAGCGAGAAGAGGGGCCGAAAGGAGAATGCGGCACGCCAGAATGAAGCCACGGAGCGGCTCTCAAAGGTTATGGAACACCAAGCAGACACACTGCAGGCGATACTAACTCTTCAAACCGAGCAGCTCCGCGCCTGCCCTCCCCTGCAGCCTCTGTCGCAAACTCTTTCCCATGCTCCCACCAGACATTGCCAACACACTGTTATCAACCTCCTGGCTTCAGTCTATACTCTGGCATTCCACTCCTCCCACACACAGTCCAGCACTGCAGACTCCCACTAAACTCAATACCCATCCCTCTGCAGTTTGGCTCTGCTTGAGTACAGTACCTGCTGCATTGTACTCCAAAAGAAGAAGGTTGACTATGATCCCTGGACATACACAAATCTTTAGCCACCCCCACCTCCTCCTGGGACCTTCCCTTCCCCTATCCCCTCACTGCTGATGGGTTTTTTTTGTTTAACTCTCTCCTCTGGTTGTTGTTTTTTAATAAAATAATTGTTTTGGTTTGAAAGCAATCTTTATTTAATTAACTGGAAGCAAACAGAGCCCTGCAAAACAGAAAATTATGTTAAACCTTCATATTGCACCGCCTGCACCAATCACAATCACCTCCTAGCATTACAAGCACTGCACTTCCAAGTATAGTAACAGATATTGGTGGCTTTCAGCTTCAAATTGCTGCCTCAAGGAATCCCTGATTCTTATGGCCCTGTGCTGCGCCCCTCTAATAGCCCTGGTCTCTGGCTGTTCAAACTCAGCCTCCAGGAGCTGAGCCTCTGTGGTCCAGCCCTGAGTGAAGCTTTCACCCTTCCCTTCACAAATATTATGGAGTGTACAGCACATGGCTGTAAGCATAGGAATATTGCCTTTGGCCAGATCCAGCTTCCCACATAGGCCAAAAGCACACTCAACAGTCATGCTGCATTTGGATCACAATGGGCATTTCAACTTCCCCTACGGTGATCTTCTGGTCCGGAAAGAAAGTCCCTGCTTGTAGCTTCCTGAACAGGCCAGTGTTCCAAAAGATACGTGTGTCATGCATCTTTCTGGACCAGCCTGCGTTAAATGTCTCTGAAACGCCCACAGCGATTCACAAGCCCCTGGAGAACCATGGAGAAATACTCTTTGTGATTAATGTACTCGGTAGCTAGGTGGTCTGGTGCCATAATTGGAATATGCATGCCATGTATTGCCCCTCCATAGTTAGGAAAGCCCATATGTGCAATGCCATCCACAATGTCACGCATGTTGCCCAAAGTCATGGTCTTTCGGAGCAGGATGTGATTAATGGCCCTGCAGACTTCCGTCAACTTGAGTCCACTGGTTGACTTTCCCACTTCGAACTGGTTAGCGACCGATCAGTAGCAGTCTGGAGTAGCCAGCTTCCACAGTGCTATCACCACGCGCTTCTCCAATGGCAGGGCAGCTCTCATTCTCGTGTCCTTGCGCCGCAGGGCTGGGGCGAGCTCATCACACAGTCCGATGAACGTGGCTTTCCTCATCTGAAAGTTCTTCAGCCACTGCTCGTCATCCCAGACGTGCATCACAACGTGATCGCATCACTCAGTGCTTATTTCCTGAGCCCAAAAGCAGAGTTCCACTGTGGTCAGCACCTCCATGAATGCCACACGCAATCTCATGTCATAGCTAGTACATGTGGCAAGATGAATGTCACATTCCTCTTGCCTTTATAGTTTAAGGAGTAACTTCACTTTCACTCGTGATGTGTTAGTCAGAGCGAGCAGCATAGAGGTCAACCGTTTGGGATCCATTCCTGCATCCCAAAGAAGCTGGGCGCGCAGTACACAAACCATTGAAAGATGGCACCAAATGTGGATGGAAGCACAGGGATTGCTGGGATGCAAAGAAACGCATCACGGGGCATTGAGACTGGACCCAGGATGCTCCGTGACCCCCTCCATCTTCCCCCAACTCTTAGCAGGAGAAGAGGAAGAAATGTTCTGTGGGATAGTTCTCCAGAGTGCACCACTCTGAATACCTCTACAAGTGTGAACACGCTATTGCGCAGGCAACTGACAGTGTGAACACACA